AAAAACAATACATCACATACAAGGAACATGATTCAATTAACAGCTAACTTCTCCATCAGAAGGTTTGGAGGCCAGAAGAGAGTGAAACACCATCTTTAAAATTTTCAAAGGAAAGAAAAATATAAACCAATAATTCTGTAACCAGTAAAAATATCCTTCAAGAATAAAGGTGAAATAAAAGAAAACTAAGAGAATTTCATTTCCAGCAGATCTGTAACTACCAGAAATGGTAAAGGCATTTTTTTTTTTTAAGGCTGAAGGGAAATAATGCAGATGGAAACTCAGACCCTCACAAAGCAATGAAGAGCATTGGAAATTGACAGTATCTGAATAAATGTAAAAAACTATATTTTGGGTTTTTTAAAATTAGTTTATAATAGATGTGGCTGTTTAAAGCAACATCACATAATTACTTTGTGCGACTTACATGTAGATGTAATATATAACAAATGCATCATAAAGGAGGGAAGATTTAGAATTATAAAGTTGTAAGATTTTTATATTTTATACAAAGCGATATATTAACTACGTGATTGTGTAAAATTAAGAATATATATTGTAATCTGTAGTTGAAATACTAAAAATTAATGTAAAGAGATAGAACTGAAGGTTCAATAAAAGAGTAAAATGTAATTCTAAAAATATCAAATAATTCACAAAAGGTAGGAAAGAATGAACACAGGAACCAAAAATGGATAAGATAAATAGAAAACAAATAATAAAATTATACACTCAAATCTAACTATATCAATAATTACATTAAATATTAATGGACTGACAGCTGGCAAAACGTTGTTGTTAGGTGCTATCAAGTTGATTCCGACTCACAGTGACCCCATGTATGACAGAATGAAACACTGCCTAGTCCTGCGCCATCTTCACAATAGTTATTATGCTTGAGCCCATTGTTGCAGCTACTATGTCAGTCCATTTCATTAAGGGTCTTCCTCTTTTTCGCTGACCTTCTACTTTACTAAGCATGATGTCCTTCTCCAGGGACTGGTCCCTCCTAATAACATGTCCAAAGTATGCAAGACGAGGTTTCACCATCCTCACTTCTAATGAGCATTCTAGGTGTAGTTCTTCCAAGACAGATTTGTTTGTTCTGCTGGCAGTCCATGGTATATTCAATATTCTTCACAAACACCGCAGTTCAAAGGCATCAGTTCTTCTTTGGTCTTCCTTATTCATTGTCCAGCTTTCACATGCATATGAGGCGATTGAAAACACTATGGCTTGGGTCAGGTGCACCTTAGTTCTTAAAGTGACATGTTTGTTTTTTAATACTTTAAGGAGATCTTTTGCAGCAGATTTGCCCAATGCAACATATCTTTTGATTTCTTGAAAGCTGCTTCCATGGGCATTGATTGTGGATCCAAGTAAAATGAAATCCTTGACAACTTCAATCTTTTTTCCGTTTATCATGATGTTGCTTATTGGTCCTGTTGTGAGGATTTTTGTTTTCTTTATGTAGAGGTATAATCCATACTGAAGGCTCTGGTCTTTGCTCTTCATCAGTAAGTGCTTCAAGTCCTCTTCACTTTCAGCAAGCAAGGTTGTGTCGTCTGCATATCACAGGTTGTTAATGAGTCTTCCTCCAATCCTGATGCCGCTTTGTTCTTCATATAGTCCAGCCATCTTGGATTATTTGCTCAGCATACAGACTAAGTATGATGAAAGGATACAACCCTGATGCACACCTTTCCTGACTTTAAACCACACGATATCCCCTTGTTCTTTTCGAATGACTGCCTCTTGATCTGTGTACAGGTTCCTCATGAGCACAATTAAGTGTTCTGGAATTCCCATTCTTCATAATGTTATCCATAATTTGTTTTGATCCATACAGTTGAATGCCTTTGCATAGCCAAGAGAACAGGTAAACATCTTTTCGGTATTCTCTGCTTTCAGCTATGATCCATTTGACATCAGCAATGATATCCCTTGTTCCACACCCTCTTTTGAATCCAGCTTGAATTTCTGGCAGTTCCCTGTCTATTTACTCCTGCAATTGCTTCTGAATGATCTTCACAAAATTTTACTTGTGTGTGTGAAATTAATTGATATCGTTTGATAATTTCTGCATTCTGTTGGATCACCTTTGTTTGGAATGGATAGAAATACGGATCTCTTCCAGTCAGTTGGCCAGGTAGCTGACTTCCAGATTTCTTGGAATAAACAGGTGAGCACTTCTAGCTCTGAATCTGATTGTTGAAACATCTCAATTGGTATTCCATCAATTCCTGGAGATTTGTTTTTCGCCAATGTTTTCAGTGCAGCTTGAACCTCTTCCTTTTACGTGTCTGTCATTTCCCCCACCTGTCAGTTTGTCATACTGTGGGGACTTGTGTTTTGCTATGATGCTGGAAGCCATGCCACTGGTATTCAGATATTAGCAGGGTCATCCATGGTGGACAGTTTCCAGCTGAGCTTCCAGGCTAGGACAGACTAGGAAGAAGGACCTGGCAGCCTACTTCTGAAAAAAACTAGCCAGTGAAAACCTTACGAGTAACAGTGGAACATGGTCTGATACAGTGCCGAAAGATGAGCCCCTCAGGTTGGAAGATACTCAAAATACAACTGGGGAGGAGCTGCCTCCTGAAAGTAGAGTGACCTTAATGACATGGATGGAGTCAAGTTTTCAGGACCTTCATTTGCTGATGTGTCATGACTCAAAATGAGAAGAAACAGCCGCAAGCATCCATTAATAATCAGAGTGTCGAATGTACGAAGTATGAATCTAGGAAAATTGGAAATTGTCAAAAATTAAGTGGAATGCATAAACATCAATATCCTATGCATTAATGATCTGAAATGGACTGGTTTAAGCCATTCTGAATCAGAGAATCACATGGCCTCCTACGTTGGGGATGACAACTTGAAAAGGAATGGCATTGCATTCATCATCAAAAAGAACATTTCAAGATCTGCCCTGAAGTACAACGCTGTCAGTGCTAGGATAATATCCATATGCCTACAAGGAAGACCGATTAATATGACTCTTACTCAAATTTACCCACGAAGCACTAAGGCCAAAGATGAAGAAATTGAAAATTTTTACCAACTTCTGCAGTCTGAAATTGATTAAAAAAATGCAGTCAAGATGCATTGATAATTGCAATTGGAATGTGAAAGTTGGAAATAAAGAAGAATTGGTAGTTGGAAAATATGGCCTTGGTGATAGAAACGACTCTGGAGATCACATGATAGAATTTTGCAAGACTAATGACTTCTTCATTGCAAATACCTTTTTTTCACCAACGTAAACAGCGACTGTACACGTGGACCTCACCAGATAGAATACACAGGAATCAAATAGACTACATCTTGGAAAGAGACGGTGGAAAAGCTCATGGCATAACATAGTGCACAAAAATCATGATCTGCCTCCTAGTGAAATAACTAGCATCTGGGGTCTTTAAAGCTTGCAAGTGGCCATCTAAGACACAAGTACGGGTCTCTACTCACCAGGAAGAAAACAGTAAGAAGGTAACCAAAATCTCAGAGAAGAAACAAGTCTGCATGAGCCACAACCTCATCTACCGTGAGACCAGAACTAGATGGTGCCACTGAGTGTTCTGACCAGGGTCACAATAGACGGTACCAGATAGAATGGGAGAAAAATGTGGAGCAGAACTGAAATTCTTGAAAAAGAAAAAAAAGCCAGACAAACTGGAACAGTAGAGACCAGAGGACTTCCTCAGACTATCGCCCTGAGACACTCTTTAAACCTAGGACTGAGCCTCAGATCACCTTTATTGAAATAGCAGAGTAGCACACAAAATAAAGTCTATTACTCTTAAGATTGGTGCTTACATAAAAAACATAAGCATGAAACCAAAAGGTCAACAATTACTCAAAAGCAAAGATAAGTAGATAAGAGGGCAGGGAAACTATGGAACAAACAGAACACAAAGAGAATGTTAACACATTGTAATAAATGTAACTAATGTCACTGAACAATTTGTGTGGAAATTGTTAAATGGGAACCTAACTTGCTGTGTCAATGTTCACTAAAAACTCATTAAAATATTATTTAAAGGTATATATATTAATGGACTGAAACAGGTTGAAAGCAAATGAATACAACATCATATATAGTATGTGAACTAGATACACACACGCACACACACACATACATATAAAGAAGTAGGTAATATGAATAACACTGTCAACTTCCTTTAACAAACAACGATAGAACACACGTTTTCTTTTTAGATTCATACAGTATGTTCACTAGGAGAGCCCCTGTGCTGAATCATAAAATGAGTCTCATTGAACAGAAAAAAGACTGAAATCATAAAGTATGTTCTCTGATATAAGTGAAATTAGAGATCAATGAGATAATTAGACAAATCACAAATATTTGTAAACAACACTCTTCTAAATAATCCATGAGTCAGAAAAGACATCACAAAGTAATTATACAATTTTTTAAATTAATAAAACATGACCTGTAAAATTTGAGGGGAAAATAGAAGGTGCAGCTAAAGCAATGCTTAAAAGGAAATTTATAACTTTAAATGTTCATATCAGGAAGAGAGAAAAATCTAAAATTATCTGAGTTCTAACCTTAAAAATTTAGAAAAAAGAAGAGAAAAGTAAACCTTAAGTTGCTTTTTAGTTGTATAGCTGACTTGGTTTCAGTGAAACTGAATTTTCCTTGGTGCCCTTCTGTAATAGTCACTAGACTATATCTGTTGTTCTGGATTCATTTTTTTAATATATTTTCAAGTCTTCATCCCTCCAATATTTAATTAAATCATTATTATTATTGTAAATAGAAATTGCATCCAGCAAGCCTATTACTGTAATTAAATGTTTTTAATTTTGGGAAGATGTGAATAAGATTCAACTAAAAGAGTATTCCTTATATTTGTGTCAAAACCATGATACAGTCAGTTTAGGTTCTGTAGGTGACAAACTATGATCTGCCTTCTTTGTGTGTCTTACTTGCTCCTTAGCCTGTTTTACTTGTCAGTGTTTGTTTTATCATGCAGGGTACATCAGAGAAGGATTCCTGGCTGTACAGCATGCCTTGGATAAAGCCATTATGCTGTATCATGAGAGCATTGCTGGACAAAAGGTGTTTGAGAATATCAGCATTTTTGTACAGCGATTTCCACACCCAGCTTCTTCTTTTGATGGATTACTTTGGATCTCCAGTCCTTTATTGCCTCTTATGTTCATACTCATGTTCTCTCCAAGCATACTTTCCATCCTGAGATTGATAGTGTGGGAAAAGGAAAATGGATTGAAGGTAATCCCGCTCTCTTTTCTTTATTGTGGTGAAAATACACATAACAAAACAAACACCATCAACAATTGCTACATGTACCATTCAGTAACATTGATTACATTCTTCAAGTTGTGCAGTCATTCTCGCTGTCCTTTTCCAAATCATTCTACCACCATTAACACAAACTGCATGCCCCCTAAGCAAAAATTCCACCTTTCCTCCTACCTCCTGCCCCTGGTAGTCACTAATAATTATTTATTTCTGTATATTTGCTTATTTCATATAAATGAGATCACATAATATTTGTCCTGTTGTGACTGGCTTATTTTGCTCAGCATGGTGTTTTCAAGGTTCATCCATGTAGTGGCATGCATCCGGAATCAACTTCTCTTTATGGCTGAGTATTCAGTTGTGTGTGTATACCAAATGTGTATGTATTCATCTCTTGATGGACATTTTGGTTCTTTTCACCTATTGGCTATTGTGAAAAGTGCTGCAGTGAACATTGCTGTACAGATTTCTGTTTGTATTCCAGCCTTCACGTCTTCTGAGTATATATCTAGGGTTGGGATTTCTGGGTCATAGAACACAAAATGATAGTTCTCTGTTCAACTCTTTGAGGAAGCTCTAAATGGTTTTCCACAGTGGTTGGATCAATTTACATTCCCACAAGCAATGAGTGAGGGTTCTAGTTTCTCCATAACCTCTCCAGTACTTGTTGTTTTCCATTTTGGGTTTTTGTTTGTTTGTTATCATTGCCATTCTAATAGCGGGGAGGCGATATCTCATTGTAGTTTTGGTTTGCATCTCCCTATGGCTAATGATGTTGTGCATCTTTTCATGTGATTATTGGCAATTTGAATATCGTCTTGGGTGAAATGTATGTTCAGGTCCTCTGCCCACTTTTTGATTGGGTTGTTAGTCTTTTTGTTTTTAAGTTGTATAAGTTTTATATATGTTTTGCATAATAGACCCTTATCAGATTATGGCTCCTGAAATTTTTCTCTCAATCTCTAAGTTATCTCTTTACTTTGTTGATAAAGTCCTTTAATGAACAAAAGTTTTTAACTTTTATAAAGTCCTATTTTTCCATTTTATCTTTTGCTACTTGTGCTTTTGTTGTCATCTGATAATCTATTGTTAAAAGCTAGGTCCCATAGCCTGCACCCCCCTACATTTTATTCTAAGAATTTTATGGTTTTAGTTTTCACATTTAGGTCCTTGATCCAGTTGGAATTTTTTGCGTATGTGTGTGGTGTGAGATATGGATCCTAGTTCATTCTTCTACATCTGGAAATCCAATTTTCCCAGCATCATTTATTGAAGAGACTCTTCTTTCCCCCATTGAATGGACTTAGCATCTTTATTGAAAATCAGTTGACCGTAAAACCTGTTGCCGTCGAGTCGATTCCAACTCATAGTTGACCACAGATGTATGGATTTATTTCTTGACTCTCAATTCTATTCCATTTGTCTATATGTCTGTTGTTATACCAGTACCAGGCTGTTTTAATTATTGCAACTTTATGGTATGTTTTGAAATCAGGAAGTGTGCCACTTATTTTCTGATAAAGTTTCTGTAAAGGTTTTTTTAGGCCTGTGGCGCTCTTTTTTATGGGGAATTGGATTATTTCTACGTATTCAGCACTGGTAGGTAGTTGTTATATCCCAGCAGCAGCAAATCCAAATACATAACAGGAACAGTGAATACTGATGCCACTTATCTATTTTCCAAGCTGGGAGAGCTTCAAGAGACACAATATCTTTGGAGAGCAGCACAAAGGGAAGGCCCAGAGCCAAGAAGGAAGACAAGAACAAGGTCGCTAGAGGAATTTGAAGTCTCTGGTACTCATAGAAACAAATTCAGTGCTAATAACCATAAACCAAAAAAACCAAACCCATTGCCGTTGTCGATTCTGACTCATAGTGACCCTATAAACATAGCAACAGTAAATTTAAAACATAGCTCAAGGCCTGACTAAATTAACATACATCCCTGCACTAAAGGTCTATTAACTTCAGTATATACTGCCCTAAATAAACATGTCTGGTTTCAACAAATATTACAAGGCATTCCAAAACTCAAGAAAAAAGTCTGAAAAGACAAATCAGTAAGTAGCACAAGAACCCAATATAACACAAATGTTGGAACTATCTGTAAAAATGGTGTGGGGGTGGTGTCTGACCTCTCCTTCCCAAGGGGGAAGGAGAACCAAGATCAACAGTCCAAGGCTGATTACTGTAAGGTGGAGGTCACACATGCCTCCTCTCTCTTCCATCTCTACCAATTCTGACACAAACTGTCCTTCCCACAGCACTCTTAACTGGGTGCAATAATTCATTGCAGTGGCCTCACAGAACTCACAGATCATACTCATTTATGGGGTTTATTAGGGAAGTAACAGTTACAATTCAGGCTCAAGAACACTCGGGATACAGTTCTTCCATCAGGATAGCTTCTCCGCAGCTGTGCTTGCAGGCACGCCTCTCCTTGGCCCTCAGTCTTTGCCCAAAGGCACTCAGCTTTCTCTCTCCCTGGGACGGGAAGCCCACCATGCTATCTCCTGCTGCCAAGATCTCTGCTGCTGGGTCTCTTCTGTTGGTCTCTCCTTCCTAGGTGGTGGTGGGCCTGTCCTCTCTGCTCTGGAATTGGCTCTCTTTTAAGGCAAAACTGACCTATCCCTTTGGTAGGCCACAATTACCCTATCACACAGTCACCTGGGTGGGAGTTACAAGACCACAGCTAGAAAGCCACATACAGAAGTAATTAATCACACTGCATTATCAACAAGGAATTTAAAATAACTATGATTAATATGTCAAAGGCTCTAAAAGGAAAGGTAGAAGTATCTAGAGTCTGCAAGACCACACCTGCATTCTGAAATTCACTTGAAGGACTCATGGGACTCAGCATATAGTTATACTCACAGCTAGGACTTACTGTAGTGGTGTAATAAGGATACACAGATCATAAGGGAAAGAGACAGAGCCTGCAGGAGTGCACATGCAAGCTTCTTCATGCTCTCTCCTTTCTCTGAGCAGTCACACATAGTGTACTTTTGTCCCACCAACTAAAATCAAACAACATATCTCTGGTGGTTGTGTCTAGGGAAATCTATTAGAGATTTAGCACCCAAGGTTTTGATTAGGGGATGGTCATGTAGCCACCCTGTGCCTAGCATATACCAAAATTCCAGACTCCTAGAAAGAAAGCACCTATCCAGCATAAACTATATTGTATATTGTTGAGGCACAGTGAGTCACCCTTATCATTTAGGGAAAGTTTTATATCATTGTAGGGAACCGTTTATCAGCTAGTTCCCATATGCCACCAAACTCCAACCTTGCAAGCATGCTTTTCTAAGAATACAGTCTTAAGCCTGCGACATTAATTCTTTTCTGTATAGTAGATAACATGCAAGATCAGATAGGTAATGTTAGCAAAGAAACTATAAGAAAGAGCCAAATAGAATTGCTAGAAATAAAAAACACAGTATGAAAAATTAATGCATTTGACAGGCTCGTCAGTCACTTGACCCAGACAAGGAGAGGATCAGTGAAATTGAATACAAGGCAGTTGTATTCAAGACATAAACTAAAATGCAAAGAGAAAAAAATGTGAAAATCCAGAAGAAAGCATCCAAAAGGTATAGGATTATATCAAATGGTATAATGTTTGCATAATTGCAATCCCAAAAAGCAGATAAGAGAACAGAGTAAAGTAAATATTGAAGAATTAATGGCAGAGAATTTTTCCAAAAGTAGTACAGACATCAAACCACAGATCCAAGAAGCTTAGAGAACACACATCAGGTTAAATACAACACACACACACACACACACACACACACACACACACACACACACACACACACACAGTTCTATTATATTTAAATTGCTGAAAATGAAAGACAATGAGAAAATCTTGCAGACAGAAAAAAAAAGACACATTACCTACAGAGGAATAACGGTAAGAAGTACAGCCAACTTCTTGTCAGAAACCACACAAGTAAGAAGATGGTAGAGTAACCAAACAAAAAAACCTGTCAATCTTCAATTCTATATCCAGTGGAAAATATATTTCAAATGTGGAGAAATAAAGACAAACAAAACTGAGGTAATTTATTGCCAGAAGACTTGACCTACAAGAAATGTTAAAGGAAGATCTTTGGGCAAAAGGAATATAATATAGGTCAGAAACTTAGATCTACCAGTAGAAATAGAGTATGGGAAATGCTATAGATTAAGATAAAATCTTTTATTATTTTTTTATTGTGATTTAGGTGAAAGTTTACAGAGCAAATTAGTTCCTTATTAAACAGTCAATACACAAATTGTTTTGTGACATTGGTTGCCAACCCCACAATGTGTCAACACTCTCCCCTTCTCCACGCCAGGTTCCTTGTTTCCATTCATCCGGTTTTCCTGTCCCTTGCTGCCTTCTCATCTTTGTTTTTGGGCTGGTGTGCCCATTGGTCTCGTATACACGATTGAACTATGAAGCATATCCCTCATGTGTGTTATTGTTGGCCCCCATAAAGCTATTTTCGGCTAAAGGGTGAACCTTGGGAGTGACTTCAGTACTGAGTTAAAAGGGTGTCTGTGGGCCATACTCTTAGGCTTTCTCTAGTCTCTATCGAACCAGCAAGCCTGGTCTTTTGTGTGTGTGTGTGTGTGTGTGTGTGTGTGTGTGTGTGTGTGTGTGTGTGAATTTTAATTTTGTGCTACATTTTTCTCCTGCTCTGTCTGGTACCCTCTATTGTGATCCCTGCGAGAGCAGTTGGTGGTGGTAACTGGGCACCATCTAGTTGTTCTGAACTCAGTCTGGTGGAGGTTGTGGTAGTTGTGGTCCATTAATCCTTTGGACTAATCTTTCCCTTGTGTGTTTGGTCTTCTTCATTCTCCTTTGCTCCAACTAGGATGGATGGGACCAGTAGATGTATCTTAGATGGCCACTCAGGTTTTTAATACCCCAGTCGCTACTCACGACAGTCAGATGTAGAACATTTTCTTTACAGACT